AATATGGGCTTCAGGTTTGATGGGTCGGTTTTGGACGTATGGTGGCAGCCGTCATGTGCCATACCTGTAGTGGTGAATTAGCTACACACAGAGCATGATCGACCCGTGCCAGCCTACGCGCAACTGCCAGATGCATTCATCAGGCTTTGGATCCGCAAACGTGGGATGCAGGACAAAAGATTCACACCCAATAATGTGGTCTTTGATTACTATGTTTTTGTCTAGAAATGTGTTTGGATTGGCACACAAGAGTGCAATATAGTGGAAAAATACAGCAACGGGAGTCTTTCTGTCATGTCGATGTATATTTTGACGATGCTAACAACTAGGCCTCGCTCAGGTTCAGAACTCAAAAATGAACTTTATGCATTGTCAGAATGTATGAAAGTCTCTGACCTCCTCTTGAACCCTGATACATTGGATTAGCAGTTACTATCCCTCCCTTGATTTAATTTAGAAATATTGCTTGGTACATAGTGTGTGTGTGTGTGTGTGTGTGTTTTGTCTATTTATATGGCTATTGTTTGTGGTGTTCCTGCCTGTAATGATAGCAGATGTAAGGTTAATCTTTGTGTAATGTGTGTAGGAGGAAGTACTATACAATAAGCCCCTGGCGCCAGACGCACTACATCTATTAGTCAATCTGAAAGGGAGACACATGAATGAAGTTCACAGTGGAAGATAAGCCACTACATTAGACTGTGTGTCTAGAACACTAGATCCATCTGTTCTTCTTTGTTACATTCAGTCATCATCTTCTGCTTACCTCTTTCTTACAGTTTCCTCTTAAACTGAATCCAGAAGACAGACACAGAATGCATTGTACTGAGAAGTTAAATCCATGGCTAGAGGAATGTCACACTTTTGAATTTTAACCTTTTAAATGTTAAAGGGATAGTTCACCCAAAAATGAAAATTCTGTCATTAATTACTCACCCTCATGTCGCACCAAACCCGTAAGACCCTCATTCATCTTCGGAACACAAATTAAGATATTTTTGATGAAATCCGAGAGCTTTCTGACCCTCCATACACAGCAAGGGAACTACCACGTTCAAGGCCCAGAAACTTAGTAATGACATCGTTAAAATAGTCCATGTGACATCAGTGATTCAACCGATATTTTATGAAGCTACCAGAATACTTTTTGTGTGCAAAGAAAACAAAAATGCAGAAATGAAATTAAAAAATTGTTTATTAGTATATTATTCAGTATTTGTATACTTATTAGAGCAATGTAACATGGTAAGCTCAGTAACATGGTAACATCAAACTGTATTGAAATCAAATACGAGTTGATTTGTGTGGCACATGGGAGTTGCTACCTATGTAGAGCATTCCAAAACAGTCACTTGTGAGGTTCTATGACGGTTCATATGCTTAAAAGGCAGCTCACTAGGCTTTGGTATAGAGCTGGTGTCTCTCTAGAGCAGAGTCCTTCATTAAAGTCATTAGTGAGGCACGGTGGGACACTCCTACCAGAAATCAGCTGAAATAATGAAGCATACCCACTGAAACCACAAATCACCCTCAGATCTGTCTCTCCTGCTCGCTCTCTCAGCCTGACTGCAGTACCCATAACTCTCCTTGGCTCACTTGACTGATTTCTCAGGCATTTTAAGGCCGAGACACCACGTTCATTGCCCTTCAGAAACAATCAGTAGTTTTCAGCATTAGGTCAAGTGAGAGTCAGCATGTACAAAAAAGGCAGGTTTAACCCTGAACCTTAGGTCTTCCCTCCTTTTATTGTTGTATTGCATAGCCTTGTTCTATTGTGGTGATGGTTATGATTAATGTCGGCTTGTTCCACAGCATTTTCGCCATGACATTTATTGGTGAACCTTGAAGTGAACTCTACTGCACAGCAAAACCAATAGCTAAATTCAGGCCTTGGTCCAGTTTTTTGCTTCAATAAGGATCAGTGGTTTTGAAGGCCAGTAGATTTAAAGCTGAAGTGTGTAATAGTAGTGTACTAGTAATAGTATGCTAGCAATTGCTTGATTTTTTTTTTTTTTGAACATCCTGACTAGCTTAACAGAGACATTCAGTTCATCCAAAATCGCATACTGTCTATTAGGAATTACATTTGAATTTGAACTTAAGCCGGACGCAGCGATCGGCTCCACCAGTTTGGAGGCAGAGCTATCTGTTTTTCTGACCAATTGCAGATGGTGGAAGTGTTTGGAAAACCTATTTGAAGTCATTTCTTTTGCGATTTCTAGTGCCACAGCAACTCCAAATGAAATCCAACAGTGACCAGGAAGAGCAACAAGCCCCTACATGTTGTAGCATGTTAGGTTTAAGGCCTCGAAATAGGGCAGGCGATGTGGACAAAGAGACACAACCCTGTCAAAAATCTGTTCTCATTCTGAGAATATTTCATTTATTCACACTCCTGTAGACTATAATGGAAAAACAATTCCCTACATCTAGATTCAGTACACATGATGTACTCTATGACAGTATGCGATATGATATTGAGAGTGCTTGCGTTGGGTTATTGTAGTGAGGCAGTGAGACTAAATAAACGTTTTGTTGACTCAGTTTGTCATAACCCATGTCATCCATGGCTGGGTCCTGCTGAAGGACTCATTAGTTAGACATACACAGCTCCCTATGATATATGCGCCTGCTATTTCAAATGCATTATTTATTTTTGTAGCTGAAAATAGAGAAGAATGAGAGGCATTTATACCGCTTGGAGGATCAAATCAAGGTTGGTGCTAATGGAGAATTTAATTATGTTGTGAAAGGTAGACATTCGCCTGCAGGGTGAACTCTGTCAGGGTAGTGTTGTGTAGTCAAACTCCCACATTCCCACAGAATAAGTCAGTGGCATATTGCCACCGAAAACCTCTTTGAGGAGTAATTCTTTGTCCCTAAAGAGGAATTTGAATTTAATGCAAAAGCACACGCATAAGTAATGGCAGTAGAGATGGTTGAATCTCTATGGTGATACTGTGCAATCACAGTTACTTATGTGGGAATACTGTGTATATGTGATATGTTTGGGGGACAAGGTGGGGGAAGGCATGTACTTGCAGATGCTTATGCCTTAGGTGTTACATCTTATTTCTATAGTATAATTAAGTTTAGAATATTTAAGGTGAAATTTGTAATAGCATTTGGTTGAAATAGCGACACCAAACGGAGTTGCAAAAATAACTGGTTCAAACAGGTTTCCCTGAAAATATTGAAATAAAGCTGAAATAGAATTTAAAAATTAGATGTGAAACTTAAATGAATATTTGAAATGTTGCTTTGGCAACTAACTAAAATAATTAAGTTTATATTGAAGTACTAAAATTAGTAAAACTAAAACTGAAATAAAAATTAATCAAATTCATTAGGAATCTTTAGAAAAAAAATCAAAGAAGCATATAACAAAATGATTAAAACTTAAACTAAAATTAAAATGAAAACAAAAAGCTAAATATGAAAAAATATATAATATATAAAAATAGTATATAAATAATAATAAAATAACACTGAATGTCATTGGATGGATAAACAGTTATTTTAGCGTTTTTAAATACTGTATTTGTTATTTAAATAATATTTAAATAATATTAAATAATGTTTTAATATGATTCAATATTAAATATATTTAAATATTTAAGCATTTTGATAATTCCTTTTTAAATTTTTTATTTAGAAAAATCTTGTTCAGTTTAAGGTTTGTCAAACTGATAATTTCATAAGAGTCTGATTTTAAATAATTAGCCCAAGTTATTATCATGACTAAACTGCTCAATTTACTTGTTTGTTCGCAGTCTGTTTAGTATGCTTAGATTATACTTGTAATGAGACAAAACTCTATTTTTGCTGCCACACATCGACAGTAATTTGCACCAAATTTCACTTATACAGAAAGTCCTTGCACTTTTTTTCTCTCCATCTCTCACTCAGTCATGCATGTCGTTAGGGGACTAATTGCCTCTCATTAATATCTTGCCACGTTGATTAATCAGCGCAGAGGCGACATGGAAAATTGCATATTCAAATAGTTAATAGTCTCTTTTTGAATATCTGAATAGTTAACGACACGGCGAGTTAGTTATTAGTCTCCGAGTAAATCTAATGAAGAAAATGAATTCGAATAATAACAGACTGTGTGACAGAATCTGTGTGGTTACTCTTCCACAGTGAGATGATGGTAGTCCACAGACTCCTGCAGCTGCGTAGAGAAAGAGAGAGTCTGAGCTCTAAAGCAATATGCTAAATTCAGATTTTCAACAGAAATTATGAGTTGTAATGATTAGGAAGTCTTTCTTTTTCTATTAGATTCCATGTGCCATTGCCATTGAGCTCCTACAGTGAATCGATGGGTGACTGAGCCTTTCGCCGTGTGCTCAATATGAAGATAAGATGCTTTCGGTGTTGTGAATGGGACCGTGTGTCAGATATTGTGTTTTTGCTCACACATAATACCCTGAAGAATCCTTTCTGATTGCTTGACACTTCCCAGGTGGGATTTCACTATGTTATGCTCTCATGCTCTTTATTCCTTTTGGATTCACAGTGTTGAGAAACTCAAAGTGTGACTCCCTTACAAATGTGCCATATAAAAGTCTATAGTCAGGCGTCTTTCACCAGTGTTTAGCTCTTTTGTCAGTTTTCTCAACAACTGTCAGTACTTTTTGGGTTGACACAATGCTGTTTGTGTGTGCGTCTGTTGCATTTTCCGCTGTTTGGTCGCCTGGCCAAGAGGTTCTCATCCAGTTCTTATCTCTCATGCCACATGTGTTTAAACACACACACATACAGTCTTATCACTTCTTTGTGCTTATCTCACCTGTGCCAAATCATTCAGCTTGGAGAAAATAAACAAGCCTGTAGATATATGTCACCTGACGAGAACTGACACAAATATGACAGCTCCGACAACACACACACACACACACACACACACACACACATGCTACTTTTACAGCCCAAAAGTTTCTGTGTGTGTCTGTGTGGTTTGAATTCTACTGATATTTATGGATTGCACTTATTAGGTGAATGGGCGTGATTTTTCCAAGTCTGGACATGAGGGAACGGTGGAGGCCATGCGGAAGGATCCCATTGTGGTGCAGGTGTTGAGGCGGGGGCCCTCGGCCCGGAACCAGAACAGCCTACAGGAAGTGTGTGTGGTGGATGTGTGCACTCAGACAGACATCACCTTTGAGCACATCATGGCTCTGGCTAAGATGAGACCCACCACTCCACCTGTGCCAGACATCTGCCCCTTCCTGCTGTCGGACAGGTACATACATATGCTGACAGAACTCTTAATTACATTTGGATTTAGATTTAATCCTCATACTGTTTATTGTACTGTGTATTTGTCATTATCATAAAATATATATTTTTAGTTACAATAACATTATTATTATTATTATTATTATTATTACATTTAATCATTTAGCAGATGTTTTTAACCAAAACGACTTACAAATGAGGACAATGGAAACAATCAAAATCAACAAAAG